AGAACCCCTCAGTCCTGTCAGCTAAAGCAAAAATCAGAGTGCTTGGATGTAAAAGGGAAGGAAGGGAAGAGAAGCAGCTCGCTGGCCCAGGAGCCAATTACAACAAATGGAAAGTGTTTTGCTTTTTAATCTCGTGATTTTTTAGCTAATCTCTCCTTTGGAAAGGGACGATCAGCTCAGCACTGGGATGCTGCTGGGGGGATACAGCACTTGCAGAGTCCCAGCTGGGATGGCAACTCGAGCCCTCTCTCTCCATTCCTGTCCTTTTTGGGTGGATTTATCCTGGCTTTTTCTCAGAATGACAGTAGAGAGGCAGAGAAACAATAGCAGAGCTTTGGGAAACTTCTGAACAGGGGATTTTGCTGTGTTTTTGTCTACATTTCCTGAAAAGGGGAGTTTTCTCTTTTCAAAATATTCTTTTCACTTTGAGTTTTTCACTGGTTTACACAGGAGGGTTCAGAGGCAGGAAAACCCTCCCCAGCCCCTGCAGACCTCTCAGTTCCCGTGGGCTTTGCCCCTTCTTGGGAAAAAAGCTGAGTCCTATTCGTCATCTGCCCAGAGGTCATGGAATCACAGAATTATAGAATCATTTCAGTTGGAAGAGACCTTTAAGGTCATCAAGATGATGCTTTTCCTGCTGCAAAGGGAGTCCTGCTCCCAGGAAATTCATAAAAATGGGAAGCTTTAAAAGTGGAAAGAACCACAAACACCCAAGAATGGGTTTGTTTCCTTCTCCAGTCCAGGGTAAGACCTTGACAGGATCCAGCAGAAGGGGAAAACCAGACCCAGCAGTCCAGGAGAAGACGGAAGTCTCCTCACTCCCCGCCACCGGGGCAGTGTCCAGCAGCACACCAGAGTCAGGAGCTGGTTGGAACCTCTTCGCCAACCCAGACGGACTCATCCATTCCCCCAAGCACGTGGAGAACCAAAGCAGGGAGGAGGCCATCGGATGCCATCCCCAGAGCCCATAAGTTACAGCAGGGAACAGAGTTGCATTTGCCCTATTTCTTATCTGCTTGGAAATTGCACTGCTTTCCCAGCTGCAAAGGCAGCTCTGTTCCCAAGAATTTCAGCAAAGCCATGACCTCTTTCCAGGATCGTACAGTATATGGTGGCGGGGAGCCAGGGCTAATTATAGGCACAGGAAAAGGGGAGAGAGGGTTTGTAAAAGCTCTACCTTCCCAGCAGCAGGGAGTGGGGCGTCACAGCCCCAGCCAAGCCCACAGCAGGAGCACCCCAAAGGGCTGTGAAACCCAGGGAAGGAGAAAGAAGGCCAGGGATAGGTGCTCCTGGGCATCACTATCCCTCTTTTCTGGGAGGATAAAAGCCAACATAAATCTCAGCTCACAACACTCCCCAATTCCTATGTGCTCTGGTGTAGAAGAGAAGCCCCTCACAGGGAGTGGGACCAACGCTGCCCCAGCACAGGTCAAGTGCCAGCACAGCACTGCCCCGGCTGCCAGAATAAACATGGCAAGAAGCAGTGTTGCTCAATGCTATGTCGGGAATCTGAGTTTGGGTTCCCTATGGAGACCCCATCTCCTATAGCTGAGCGATGCCACAAGCCCCTACCATGCCCTCATGCCCTGGCACTGCCCAAAAGCTCAACCTGCAGAGACGCTCCCCAACCTGGAGGCAAATAAATGTGCATCAATTTAAATGCCAGCCAAGGCTCTCAGGCAAAGCCACGTGCAGGCTTAGAGCCAAGTTCATTGTCGCTTGCTGGGCAATGTCACAGGAGCCACCTCCCTCCCCCAACTCGCTGCAGGAGTGGACAAGGACACGGAGACACACATGCCCACGAGACCTTCCAGCACGGAGGAGACTGGGCAGAAAAGCACAAAACAGGCAGCAACTCATTTAGCCATGGTCTCCTCTTCTGAGCCACGTTGCTGCACAAAACAAAACCCAGGTAAGGTAAAAATCCCACCTATTATTTTCTTGAGGGAGGAAAAAGAAAAGCCAGGAACTCTCTTGCTTGCCGCAATGGTTTTCATTTTCCACCAAATCAAATCGAGTCTCAACTCCGGCTGCTGGCAGATCCCCTCCCTGCCTGCTCACTGCCGTGTGTGCCTGCGCATGTGGGAATGTGTGGGTGTGCGGGTTTTGTTTTGCTTTCTGCACAGGCTCTGCAGACCATCTCCTGCTCTCGCCGATCGCAGCCTGCGAGGCTCAGCCCTGCTCTATTATCCGGAGGGATGGACTTCCCATTTCTCCAGCTTTAGCCTCATGCGAGGCTGCTCTCCTCCTTCAAAAACTTCCAGAAACACGGCTTGCAGGTATCCCAGCCCCCTGGGTGCTGCAGAGCTGTTGCCATTGCCAGTCGCCCCAAGAAGGTCCCTGTGTCTGGGGGGGTGTCAGGGCTGGGTGCTGTGGAGGGGGAGTGTGGCTGTGCCAGGCCGGGACGGGGGAGCCGGTGGCACGGAGCAGGGAACCAGCTCAGCCTCCCAGCGGGAAGGCAGCCGCTCACTAAGGGAAGGAATCTGCCCATGCACGCTGGGGCCAAACGATGCCCTTTTTTAAGGCTCCAGTGGCAGTGGGAAGGGGGTTCAGCATGTGCTGAGCTCACCTGGCTCCTGGCGAGCCCCTCGGAGTCACCTCCCACCAGCTCCCCACATAATCCCAGCTGAAACCTCACCCTTGGCACCTGGCCCCTCACAGTGGGGGCTCCCAGAAACTCTCCTGAGGCCAACCAAGCCTTGGTGCAACCAAACCAGCACTTTTTATGTGACACCCCCATCCCCAGCTCCGACACCCCAGATGGGGACATCCAGGGATGGAGGGGAAGATGAACAGAAATGGCATCCCCACAGTCCACAGCAAAGACCCTGGGACTGCTGGCACCTGCCCAGCACCCACTCCTCTGCAGCAGTGGGACAGAGAGGCAGGACCCATCCCCACGGGCAGAGCCCACTTCGCCCAGCTCTGCCAGCACATCCCAGCAGAGCACGTGGCCATGGCAGGGCCGACACAGCCCCTTCCCGCTCGGCTCCGCAGGCGCCGCCGCGCACGGCTCAGCCCTAACGGGATAACAAGCTCACAATGAGATCCTAATGAAGGATTAGCGAAATACAGTTTAAAGAGATTAAAGCTGGGTGCAGCACTGAAACTTTCTTATTTATTTAATTTTTTTTTCCTGAGAGCCCAGCAGAGGTGAGACCCGGATTACAGCCAACATGGACAGAGCTGGCATTCACTGCCAGCTCCAGCAACTTGGGATGGTTTTTCCATTGCATTCATGCAAAGAGGGGCTGGGGTTGCAAAAAGTATGGAGGAACACACAAAAAATGGCTAAAATGGCTCGTGGCGCCTGCAAGCCCTGCCCAAGGCACTTCACAGCGAGCCAGAGGCTTTCTTCATCTCTCCCTTCCCACACCAGTCCCTCCCCATCTGCATCCCAGCTGCGCGATGCTCTCGGTCCTGTTCATAATGACTGTTGATGTTATCCGCCGGAGCCAGAGCCTTCCAAGGAGCCCCAGGGAAGCAGGTACTCAACTCTCATTCAGGGAAAGTTATTAATAGTAATTTCTTGGCTCTACACAAACAGAGCAAGAAGTCAGCCCTGGCCTCGGAGAGCTCGGCGTGACTGCCAGCCCCACGCGCTCCGAAAGGTCAGGAGTCTGGTTCGCCCCCAAATCAAAGGAGAATGTTTAAAATAGAAAGCAACACATCTGGGGTTGCTTTTTGGGTTGTTTTGGCCACTCGTATTGTCTTCTGCAACCACCAACACCACAAATTTTCTCCTCCCAAGAAAGGGCAATGTGACTGTCACCCTATCACAGGAATCCAGGAGTGGGAATTCACTAAACCAAAAGTAGCAACACCCCAGCAGAGAAAGGAATGGGAGAGCAAGGCTGGCACTGGGGGATGGGTTTATCTCACGGGCAGTGGGGCAACCGCTCAAAGCCCACCCCTCATTTCAGCCAAGTCCTCAAAAGCCACGTGATGAGAGGGAGGTGGGGAGCTGAGAAACATCCCTGTTGAGAAACTACAAAACAAATCAAATGAAGATGTTTGGAGCAGATCCAGATGTTTATTAGTGACGCACATGGAGGTATAAATAATTATCCGGTAGGAATTTTGTTCACAGGCAGCTCTCCCTTATCTAATCAGATCTCAGTGCGACATGGCCCTGGCCTCCCGCTGCTTAAAAAGTCTTGAGAAAACCAGATACAACATAAAAAAAACCCTCACTAGGGGCACCAATTTAATCCCATTAATCACTGGACACTGGGAGCAGAGCTGCCAGCACTCAGATCTCATACAGGCACAGCTCAAGGGAGGATTTTTTCCCCCAGTGGAGCACTGGAGGGGGGGCAGATCCTGCACAAAGGTGCAGAGCGGAGCCAGGAGCCGAACCCTCGCACTTTACCCACAGGTAAAGTGGCCCATGTGGGAACAGAAGGCACCACGGCATCAGCCGAGCTCCTCCACACCAGCACGAGGAGCTTGCCAGGCTCTCGTCTGTAAGAAACCAACTGCTTAAAATACGCTGGCCAACAAACCCCTCCCTTGTCCGGCCGCGTGGTACTGACCAGCCACTCCAGCACTCGGACACTGCAATTACCTTAAAATAAATGGACCACAAACCTCAAGAGGCCGAATGGCTGAAGGGGATGAGGATGATGGGGAAGGTGCCCCAGCAGCACCTCGTCCGGAAAGCCGGGGGGACTGGCAGCTGCCAGTGGCTGTTGTGACACCACCAGGAAGCCCAAGCTGAAGGGTTCACATGCAACCAAAAAATAGGTAGAAAAAAGGCTTTAACATCTCAGAAAACCCACCTGAGCTGATTTTTCCTGGCCCTTAGCATCACCTAACCCGTGGGAGGTGCCAGCCCACGGAGACAAACTCCAACCCTCCGCGCCAGCAGCCCTCGCCCTGCCAACCCCCCCCGCCAGCATCTCCAGTGGTTTTCCAAAAATTCAACCAACCCAACCCACCGTAGGCGAGGCTGCAGAGGGTTTCACAGAGGCCAGAGAGGAGCAGTGTTGGAAACTTACTGTAGGAAATTGGCCGCTCAGCTCCAGCTCCTTGTCCCTACTGGTGGGAAAGTCTATAAATCTCTAATAAAGAAAAAAAAAATCCCCTCCCATTTTATTCCTTCTCTCTCCCCCCAACTCCACTCCAAAGGATTGCAAAACGGAGAGGGCAGCCGGGGCTTGGATCTGCAGCATTTCTGAGTTCCTACAGAGTCTGGGCTCTCTGCCACCAGCAACAGCGGCTCTGGGGGTGTGGAAAAAGGGAGGAAAAAAATAAAAAGAAGAAGAGGAGAAAAAAAATTGTATAAAAAAAAAAAGTCCTGTTTATTTTGGGGGATGAGAGAGAAAACTTGCACTGCACAAAGCGGGGTGGGGGAGCAACGCTCTGGCACTCCTGCAGGCACCGCACGCTTGGGAATCAAAAAGACTTTTGGTTAAAATGCCTGGATTTTGGGTGGGAATACTGAGCTTGCAGAGGATGCTCTTTCCCAGGGTGTACACGGGTGATGAGTGATCTCATACAGAGGGAGGGAAGCACCTCCTGGGGCAGCTGGACCCCCCAGGGGCACCCATGGGTGGCAGCGGCAGCTCTGCCCTGCCCTGACGCGGCCCCAGGCGCTGTGAGGGGAATTACTGAAGACAGGCTGGAAGAAAAGTCTGCTCCAGCCATGACCCAGATTCCCCTCCAGCCTGATCCCTCACTGAAGTCATAATCCTTGGAGGGCTTCTGGTCCTTTTTTTTTTTTTAAATACATCCCTGCTCGTTGCCATGGTGACGAGGGGGATGCTATAATTTCAGCATTATAGACTTCAGCACGAGAACAGGAGGGAGAAGGTGGTGGAAATATGGACGAGCTGCACTGGTAACACATTTAGGGAAAAAGAATTAAAAAAAAAAAAAGAAAGAACCAAGGCAGCACCTTGACTTGAGCAGCAGAGGCTGGAGGAGCAGGGCTGTGTTGTAGCTGGAGGGATTCAGGGAATCATGGGATGGTTTGGGTTAGAAGGTACCATAAAGCCCATCTCACTCCACCCCCCTGCCATGGACAGACACACCTTCCGCTAGACCAGGTTGCTCCAAGCTCTGTCCAACACTTGAACACTTCCAGGGATGGGGCAGCCACAGCTTCTCTGAGCAACCTGGACCAGGGCCTCACCACCCTCACAGCCAAGAATTCCGTCCCAATATGCCATCTAACCCTGCCCTCTGGCAGTGGGAAGCCGTTCCCCCTTGTCCTGTCACTCTAGACCCTTGTCCAAAGTCCCTCTCCAGCTCTCTTGGAGCCCCTTTAGGCACCAGAAAGAGTTCCAAGGTCTCCCTGGAGCCTTCTCTTCCCTGGAATGTGGATTTGCTCCTGTCCCCCGGCCAGAGTACCCACTTTGGGGCACTGTTTGGGCAGCAGCTTCCCTGGACATGGATGTTACAGACCCTGCAGGGCTTTGGGAGATGCAGCAGACCTTGCGGAACTCGAGGCAAACCCGTGGAGGAAACCCCTATTTTGGGGTGGCTTTAGCCTTGCCCACCATGGCTCAGCACCTGGACGGGGCCAAAACCAACCTACTTTGCAAAGAAGCAGCTCCAAAAGAGCTGCCCTCCCCTTTCTACCGTTATTCCCCACCACCTTTCCTTTCTGCCCTGCTCTGCCCATGGCAGGTCCCAGTGGCATCCCATCAGCAGCAGGATGTGGGAGACCCTGAGTTCCTGTCCAGTTCCCAATTAGAAAAAAAACTACCACTGCCCTGTGTTTTTGCAAGGTCATGAGACACCTCTGGGTGCTCTTAGTGTCACACTATCATGGTTCAGCCCAAAGAGCCCCTGGGTTGATGTCTACGGGTTTTCAGGCTTGTAGGTGACCCGTGACCCCATTGGAGGGATGGATTGTTAACCCGAGGGCTTCAGCCCCCCCAAATCCCAGCAGCCTCAAGCTCTCCTACAGCACAGAAACAGCAAAATTGCATGAGCAGAAGCTAAACCAGTTTTAGCCATGTTTCCATCCTCCTCGCACCCCTTTTCGCCCCATCGTCGGGCACTGAACCGGCACCCGCTGTGACGAAAAATTTCCGAGAGACTCATAAATAAAAATAAGATTGCACACAAACACCTCTGCCCAAACCCAGCCTAACGGCCTGTGACCCCCCTCATCACGAGGGAGACAGGCTGCCAGGGGCTCACGGGGTCCCAAAGGAAGCCAGAGAGCCCCAGGGAACGCCAGGCCCACACCACGCTCGCCCACGCACGAGCAGGGAGGTGAGAAAAAGGCTCCGGTCCGGTGCGCGGCACCCGGCACAGCGTCCGGCACTGATCCGGCCGTGCAGCCTGCACCCCTCAGCCTCGCTCTGAGGGGTGGGAGAAAGACCTCAACAGCAAAACCCAGGTGGTCAGCACCAGGGGGAATGGAGACATCACCATCGGTCCTGCACTGGAGCCACAGTGCCTGGGAACAGCTCATTGGGGGTCCTCAGAGGGAGATGTGATGCTGGGGCAAAAGGCTCTCCTGAGCTCTAAATGCTTAAAAAAACCCACAGCACATCATTGCAAAGTAGGAAATCCAGGCATGGGGCAGTGGGTGCCAAGGACGCCCCACCAGGGCTTGCAATGCTCCTCGCAGCAAAAAAATCTTGTATAACTCCAGGCAGAAAAACAGAGAGAGCATTTTGTTTCCATGCCCAAAGCAAAGCCAAACCACCAAACCACCACCTTCAGCATCCGACCTGTCAGCCCTTGGGCCATCAGGGCGCTTTCAGCAGTGCCCCAAGCTCCAGATTTAGCCTCAAAGGTATTTATCTCTGTGAAGCTAAAACCAAAGATGTATTTGCATAACAAAAAGACCCCGATGCTTGGTGGGGACAGGCCATGCAAAGCAGCCTCCCTCACCAAGCAAAGGCGCTCAAGGTCACCCCAGCTGATGCTGAGCTCAAGGTCACCCCAGCTGATGCTGAGCTCGCTGTGGCTGGTTCTCTTCCCTGGAAAGGACAAGGCAAAAACATCTTCCCTTATGGGAATCATCTTCCCGACCTTCCCACTTCCACTTCGTCCAGCTGGAGCAACCCTCTCTGGTGCAAAGCCAGGCGTGAAGTCTTCCTCACTAACACACACACACGTCTGGCCCTAAAGCTCAAAGACCTGAGGGCAATTAACAGATTTTTTCCAAACTCTCTCGATTTGTGACGAGACCTGGGCTCACCATTTCCTCTCCTGGGTGCCAGTGGCCGGAGCAAGGACGGGCAGCTTCGTCCCCTCAGGAGCAGCGTCTGAAGGGGAGCAGGGCAGTGAGGAACCCAGCCCTTGGCCCTTCCCCAGCAGCAGTCTCTTGGAGGAGGGAGAGGGTGGCCCAAATGCAGCTCCAAAAACAACTGGGGACCCCAGGAGCAACCAGGAACTCACCCCGCCAGGACCCCCCGCCCCTCCTGTGGGAGCAGGCGGAAGGCACAGAGCCGTGCTCAGCCCTCTGACACACCAGGTCAGTACCCGCTGCCCACGCCGTGCCCACAGCTCAACCCACAGCTCAACCTGGCACCTGTGTCATTGTTTTGGGACAAAGTCCCTTCAGCAACTGGCACCACCCAACTCATCTCCTCCTTATCTCACACTGGTGCACGCTGCTGTGGCACACGCCGACCAAACCCCCTCCTGCCCACCATCCTCACAGCTCACTCAAAGCTCAACCGTTCCAAAAACCCAGGAGGTCACACTGAACCCCAAAAACCACCGTTGTGCCCCAGGCCGCCTCAAGAGCCAGATGCTTGCCTCTCCCCCCACAAGGAAACGCCAGCTCTGGGGAGAAGATTGATGGAGGAGCAAGAAGCAGCCACCAGCTGCCGTGGGAAGAGCCCTGGCTGCCTTTGCCACCAGCATCCTGCTCCAACCATTTGTTCTGCTTCTATTTTAGAAAGCGCTGGGGCTCGGTTCTCCACGGCTCCCAGCCTCCCTCCCAGCCTCCCTCCCAGCCTCCCTCCCAGCCTCCCCACCGCCGAGCGAGGCGACAGATTTCTGCAAAGAGGTAGCGCCGGCTCCGCTCCCCATCTTGGCAGCGGCATCCGCGCGGGGCCGGGGATATTTTTGAATGAGCGAGCCGAGAGGTGCTAGTTTTCCTGGCAGCTCATTGCCGGTGCGTGGGAAGGACGGCCATGCCGAGTCAGGGAAGGTTGAGGATGGATCCATGATTGACCCCTGTGCTTAAAACCCTGGAGACGAGGCATCGAGTCCTCCCAAGTCACACAAAGTGAGATGTCCAGCAGTGCATGGAGCTCTCTGGGAAAGCATCACCCAAGAAATGAGGCTGGAGATAAGGCCTGACTCTGGCTACATCCCAACTCACAGCCTCGAGCCCTTCCTGGGAGCCCCCACACTGGTCCATGCTCTTGAAGGAGAGCCTGGCATGCGCACACTGTCCATGTGATCCCAAGTGCTGCTCCTCACCGGAATACCAGATGGAAAACTGCCCCAAGCCCACGTCCAAGCAAGCTCTGCCTCCACCCAACCCTTCCACCCTGTCCCAGTTATTGAAATAAATTTGCTGTTATCAGAGGGCTTTCCTAAGGGCAGAGACACATATCCAGGGAAAATGTGGTTTACCCCCTGGGATAAACCCAAGGGTTGGAGTGAAATGATCTTTAAGTCCCTTCCAACCCAAACCATTCCATGAATCTGTAATAACCATGCCTGAAGGTAAGGTTATAACCTCGCCTCTACCATGACCTCCCTGGTGATGCCAGTGCCGAAGGAAATGCTCAGTGACACACACAAATGATTTGCTTTCCCCCATGGTTTTTCCAGCAAATTCTGAACTGGTCCGAGTGCCACAGGCCAAGGCTCCATGTTCATGGTAGAGCCAAAGCCAGAGCTCCCTGCAGTGGAATTTTAAAGGGCAAAAATTCCCCCCACAGTGCCCAGCAGGGAGAGGGTGCTGGTGGCAGAGCCAGGTTCCGGCAATGCCAGGATTTTAACAAGCTCTGGGGTCTTCAGCCACTCCAATCTACCACTCATTGTCCACCCGAGCAGCACCGGGGTCCCCTCTCGGAGGAGGTGCCACATTTGCCACAGGACACCACAGCCCAGGGATGGACACCACTGGCATTCAGACCAGACAGGCTGTTCCTCCCAAGCCTGGGAGCTTGCTCTCATGGCAGTGGGAAGCCTGTGGGTACCAGCTCCATGGGGACATTTATCAGAATATTTAGACAACACACCGACAGCTCAGCCTATGGTTACACAAACACATGACCCCTCTCTGCCTCCGGACCATCCAAGACTGGTGAAAAACATGCATTTCTTGGCAGTCCC